TGGAATCAAATGGAGTAGAAACAGGACAACAATCAAAACAATTAAACTTCTTTAATATTTTCTCAATATAATGAGATTGTGAAAGACCAAGACAATTATTATCCCTAATAACCTTGATTCCTAGTATGACATCTGCTTCTCCCATATCTTTCATGTCAAAATTTTTAGACAAAAACTTCTTTGTTTGATTTACTTTATTCAAATCAATGCCAAAAATTAACATGTCATCTACATACAAACAAATCATGACACCTTTCCCATTATAAAATTTACTATAAACACATTTGTCAGATTCATTGATTTTGTATCCATTTGCTAGAACTATCTCATCAAATTTTTTATGCCATTGCTTAGAGGCTTGCTTAAGTCCATAAAGAGACTTAATTAACTTACACACCTTATGTTCCTGACCAGGAACCACAAATCCTTCTGGTTGTGTCATATACACTTCTTCTTCCAACTCTCCATTAAGAAAAGCTGTTTTAACATCCATTTGATGGATAACAAGATTGTATGTGGAAGCAAGTGCTATTAGCACTCTGATTGTAGAAATCCTTGCAACCGGTGCATATGTATCAAAATAGTCTATTCCTTCCTTTTGTGTAAAGCCCTTAGCAACCAATCTAACTTTAAACTTATCTATAGATCCATCTACTTTTAATTTCTTTTTGAAAATCCATTTACAACCAATAGGTTTAGAATCAGGCGGGAAGTCTACTAATTTTCAAGTTTTATTTCCCATTATTGAATCCATTTCATCTTGTACAACCTCTTTCCAAAAAGCTGCATCTTGAGATTTCATAGCCTCCTCAAATGTTTCAGGATCATTTTCTAAATTAAAACAAACAAATGAACAATTTTCAATTTCTTCCCGTGACCCTTCAACAAGAAACATGAAGAAATATGAACCATAAGTTTTTGCTTTTCTAGCCCTTTTACTTCTTCTAAGTTTTATTTCTTGTAAGTCATTGCCAGTAGATACATTATCCTCTTGATTTGTTTTCTCATTGGAATGAGAAACACCATTGGATTTAAGAATTGAGTTGAACCTTTCTTTTTGAAACATTGCATCCCTTGATTCAATGACTTTGCTAACAGGGTATGAATCATTTGGTTCAATAACCAAGAATCGATATGCCTTACTATTCTCAGCATATCCCAAAAAGATGCATTCAACTCCTCTTTCACCCAATTTCTTTCTTTTGGGTTCTGGAACTTTAACTATTGCTCTGCATCCCCAAACTCGAAAATAATTGAGATTGGATTTTCGTTTCTTCCATAATTCATATGGGGTTATCTTGTTCCTTTTATTAGGAACTCTATTTAATATATGACATGCAGTTAGCAATGCTTCAACCCAATATCCATTAGACAAACCAGAGTAAGATAACATGGCATTCACCATCTCAACTAAAACTCTATTTTTTCTTTCAGCTATACCGTTTGTTGTGGGGAATAAGGAGCAGTTACTTGATGTATTATGCCAACAGACTCAAAATATTTTGGATCAAAATAATCTCCCCCTCTATCAGTCCTTAAACATTTTACAAAGGTTTCACATTGAATGCATTAAATGTTTTAAAGATTTTAAATTTGTCCAAGACTTCATCCTTTGAATGCATTAAATAGACATAGCAATATCTAGTGCAATTAACAATGAAAGTCACAAAATACCTTTTACCACCCAAAGTAGGCCAACCATGGAAATCACAAATATCATAATGAATCAATTCTAATATTTTAGAACTTCTTTCTACTCTAGGAAAAGGTTTTCTTGTTATTTTAGTCAACATGCAAGTAGTGCAAGAGTCATGATTAATAGCAGCTTTTGGAATCAATTCAAGTTTCATCATATCATTCATTTTGCCAAAATTAACATGACCCAAACAATAATGCCATAAATCACAAGAGTCAACAATACAAGCAGAACTATAAATACTGTTATTAACTTTAGCAACATTATGTTTAAACATGTTGTCACAAATATAACCCTGGCCCACAAATGTTCCACCCTTAGTGAGAACAAACTTATCTCCCTCAAATACAGATTTAAACCCAAACTTATTAAGTAAAGGTACAGAAATTAAATTCTTCCTAACTTCTGGTACATAATAGACATCTTTTAAAGTAAGAGTTTTCCTAGAAGTGAATTCAACTTCTATGGTCCCTTTGCCCTTGACTTGGACAGTTGATGCATTTCCCATATAAAGTACATCCCCATCTTCCTCCTTCAGTGTTTTGAAGAAGTTCTTGTTTTTGCACACATGACGTGTGGCACCAGAGTCCACCCACCATGATTCATCATTATCAACTAGGTGGATTTCAGAAATTACTGCCACAAAATTGTCTTCTTTTGCAGATGACTTGTTTTCTTTCTCTTTCTTCTTTTTGAAAAAATGACACTCTTTCTTGAAATGACCATCTTTTCCACAAAAAAAGCAATTACCTTTCTTTTTCTTATTCTTGTGACCATCCTGTGCTTGGGGTTTGTCTTTATCCTTCCCTCTTTTCTTTGAGGTCTTGTTGGACTATCCTTCGTCCACCACATGTACCTTCTCTTAAGTATTGGCTTCATTTTCAGCATCTTGCTTTCTATACTCCTCTTCTAAACGAAGATAATTTCCCAATTGTTCAAGAGAAATATCTTCTTTTTTATGTTTGAGACTCTTTTTGAAGTCTTTCCATGAAGGAGGAAGTTTGTCTATGATTGAGGAGACAATAATGGACTCATCCATATGCATTTTATGTTGATTGAAATTATTCAAAATTTGTTCAATTTCATGCATTAGCTCCATGATAGACTTTCCATCAACCATTTTATAACTATTGAAACGAGTGACAAGAAATTTCTTACTTGTAGCATCCTCTTGCATGTACCTTACCTCAAGTTTGTCCCAAAGATCCTTTGCAGAGGTTGTATCTTGATAAACATCAAAGAGAGCATCACAGAGGCTGTTGAGGATATGTCCAGTGCAAATGTAGTCATCATTCTCCCACTTCTGTCTCTCTCTGATTTTAGCAATAGTTTCATCCTCCTTCTCTTGAGGCTTGGGAGTGTTGAGAACATAGGCCACATTTAAAGTTGTGAGAAGAAATTTCATCTTCCTCTGCCATCTTAGAAAGTTGCCTCCTTCAAATCTCTCCAACTTCACAAAATTTGTAGTCAGCTCCTTCAAAGAAGCCATTTGTACTTGCGTATTAAGCCTAAAGACTGTTGGCGGGAATGGTTCTCTGAAGAGTATAAGAAGAAGATATGAAGAAGAAAGTGGTGCACGATGTCTTCAAGGCATGGGCAGCACTTTCCTTTAGGCTTAATTCACCCCCACCTATTCCTATCTTATAGGGTGCAAGTTGGGATGCCTGGCGAATTTCCTTCAGGATACAATGAAGACCCTTGAATATGGATTGCACTTCCAAATTCAAGCAAAGACAACAATGGTTTTCACAAAGTGATAATTTGACTCTATCTTTGCGTGCACTCGAAGACAAAGGCAATGAGTTTGATCTTAGTATTTGTGTTGTATTTTTCCAAATGAAGTGATGGTGAAGGGTTTATATAGAGCATGGAATGATGCCTTGAAGAGATACCTTTTAGAATAAAAACTTACTAAATAAAAAGTCACAACCATATGTTGGTTCATGAACCAACATAATTTAAATAAATACAATGAATTTAGTATGTAGGTTCATTTAATGTTTTAACTTCCTACATAACCTTTTGTTAAATACAATGTATTTAGTATGTAGGTTCATTTAATATTTTAACTTCCTACATAACCCTTCATATAAATATATTAATTTATATGAAGACACAACCCTTCAAATAAATTTATTAATTTATATGAAGACATAACCCCTCATATAAATTTATTAATCTAATAAATTTATGTAAGGACATGACTTTTTAAAAAAACACATCTCTTCATTTTAAAAATATTCCAACATTTCTTTCTTTTAAGAAACCATCAATTGCTTCATTACCTTTTTCAAAAAAGAAAGGCATGTGATAGATTCTTTTGTCCGTTGCTTTTAGCCTTTTACTGTTGGATTGGGATTCATATATTCCTTGATTGACAGTTGAATGCAGAATTTTATGGTCATAGATTCATCTCTTCTAGAAGGGTAAGTGTAGCTTCAGTAGGTCTCCGTGACGTTTATAATTTGTACATTATGGAAAATAAATAGAAGGAGAGAGACATGCCGGGGTCGGGTTCGGAGCCATCTGGCAGTGCACTCACAGATTCTTTCTGATGAAATATTAGGAATTTTGGCCATTACATGTTACAAGCGAACTCGTTCATTAATTTAGACTGTCATCCTGGAGGCATGCTTTAGACTCGGTCATGTTTGTTTCCAATTTCCAAGTGTTCATTTGGTTTGTGGAGTCTATTGAAATACAAAAGGAAATAGAATGAAAAAGGAAAGACCCTTTTGATTCTAACTAATCCAAATTGAGTCAGGTGCGACCCTGACTATAGTATAACTGCATTCTCAGGAATCAAACACAAGCCTTCTAGTTAAGTGAGCATAGCTAGCCAAGCAACAAATTAACAAAAATATTTATTATTAAGTAATAATTATATAAACATAATAGATATTTTACATCTTGAATGTTGTGCTATGGAAAAGAAGTCATTTTTCTAAATTCTAACCAACTGGGGCCTTAGTTCTTGGGAACAGCTAGGGGATGAAAGACATTGGTGGGTAGGCCATTCATCCTTCTTTTAGCCATAAGCTACCTCATGCTTTTCTTAATGATATAGAAATCTAGCTTCTTTTTTCCCCCCTTTTTATGTAGATGAATTTGCAAACTTTTTACATAATTCCCGTTGGCACACAAAAAAAAATGTTGACCCCGTCATTCATTGTTACATCCCAGTCTCTTTGTTAGTCTGTCGCAATCATGTTTCTTGTTTATCTTAATGCGCTCTGCATTACATCAAGATCCAGTTGTTGGAATCCCCATCACTCTTAATTTTGGTTTTTGTGGTGGGAAATTGTGATCAATAAAAGAGAAATTCAATGGAGATAAAAGTCGAAACAGACAAAACTTTTGAGACAAATATTATGCTTATGCTTGGCAATTACTTTTTCCTTGATACAGACATAAAACACTTTAAAACAATAATCTAAACTTGAATTTGTCTTGTCAATAAGATCTGATCTATTAGCGGCCTTTTCGGTTTATTTCCCTCAGTTGCTTTGTCTGACTATGTTCTTCCAAAACCAGTGATTTTCAAATAGAAGATAAATCTCCTCTATGGGAACTTTCTTTGTTTCTGGCAAAAGGAAGAAGACAAAGCAACTCATGACGACAATCAAGCCGGCGAACAGCAAGAAGATCCCGTATCTGAGATGGCAAAGGGACAAGAGAAAGAGTTGTGCTACAAGAGCTGTGAAAATCATGTTCACACAAACCACAATACTCTGTGCAGCTGATCTTATCTCTAACGGGAAGAGTTCACTTGGAACCAACCACCCCAGGGGACCCCAAGATCGTCCATATGCCAAGACGAATATGAAAATCAAAATCACAAGAAAGATACTGATGCCCTTTGACAGTTCTTTCCCATGTCCAAACTCACGAGCCAAGACCACAGCCACAGCAACCTGCAGATCAATAGTACTATAAGTACAAAGCCGAATAAAATGCCAAATTGTGTGATGTTTAGGTACAATTCGAATTAATGTCATTGCAAGAGGAATTACCATGGAGCATATCATTTCAAGGCCAGCTTCCAAAAAGAAAGCTCGTCTGCCAAACTTATCAACTAAAGCCATTGATATCAGAGTAGCAGCAACCAGTGCGCCACTGGTAATAAGAGAAGAATACAGAGATGCGTTAGAACCAAAGCCTAAACTCTGGAAGATGACCGGAGCATAGAAGAGAATGGAGTTATTGCCAGTTAGCTGCTGGAATGCGGGAATCCCCAGGGCGCCTATTACTAACTGGGGTCTGTACTTGCTCCTCAGCAGGTTCCTGAATGGATTTTTAATTGCTTGTGCTTCCTTGCTCGCATCAATTAGATCGAGAAACTCAGCTTCAATATTCTTGGTACCTCTAATTCTCTCTAATACGACTTTTGCTTCTTCTATTTTACCTTGTTCCACAAGACTATTGGGTGTCTCAGGACATAAAAGGCCTCCAATAAGCATTAGAATTGCTGGAACCCCAGCCAAACCAAGGGATATTCTCCATCCATTGGGATGGATTTTGTCAGTGAAATAATTCACCAGGTTCGCAACCAATATTCCCATGCAGGTTGTGAATTGAAACAGTTGATTCACTGCCCCTCGGATGTTTGCCGGAGCCATTTCTGATAGATACAGGGGAACAGCCTGTACGATCAAATGACAGTTAGTGAAATGGGAAAGAAAAATTCTTAGGTATTCTCAATTAGCAAAAGATAAATAGGACGTGTCAATTATAGAGACGCAAACAAGCATGACAGAGGTAAATCACACTAAAATTGTGCTTGATATGCTTATGCTTCTCATTATTGAATATCTAATCTTATGATATGATATTTCTCTTGTGGAGCATGTAACCTACTTGGTTGCCAAATCCAATGCCTGCACCGAGAAGTACACGACCAATTATTAGCATAGCAATGTTCTCAGCAGCAGCATTGAGGATTGCTCCGGCAAGGAAGCTGAGAGATCCAACTATAATACTGGCTTTTCTCCCTTTCTTTCTTGTTAAATGTGAAGCTGCAAATGTTATCACAAGTGCAGAGAAGTATAGAGATGATGTGAAAAGAGTCAGCAACTGGTTGTCATATTTACAGTAATCTGTCTCTTTCAGATGCATTTGCTTTCTTCTGTACACATCTGGGAAGAATTTCTTGAGGAAATCATCCATGGAGGTTACTCCACCTGAAAATATGAAGTTCAGTTCAATGGGTCGTCAGATTTTGCTGTAATATGAATATCATCCTTGAATTTAATCAGTTCCGTAAAGTGCTAAGCACAACGTAAGAAACCTATTAATCCGTAGAGATTCTGCAGTCAAGAAGTTATATATTGTTCGGGTGCGTTGACTGAAGTCTTAGTTGATCATGTCAGGGGTAGAAGTGGAACACAATAAAAAACCCCAGGATTAGAAATTATAGTCTATAAATATATTCGTCATTTGATTTTTAACTTCTATCTAGTTATGTAAGACATGATGCTAACTTTGGCGGTCTTTCATGGATTAGAATTCATAGTTTCCTAATTCCCAACATGTGACTCTTCACTAATGGAGAAACAAGACTGTTTCTGGGTCAGCAAGAAGAGGAAGAACAGAGATCGGTCAAATCTGCGCCCCAAAGCGTCCACGTGCATGCATTCATAGATACATACATGAGATTTAAACATCTCTTATGGATCATAGCTAATTCTTTGGATAATAAAAAAATAAAAATAAGAAGGCCATCGAGCGGATCCTTCAGATATGACAATTCTAAATAATACCAATCTGCCTCATTGTTTTCCAAGCTACGAACCTCGTGTTCAAAAAGTCGTCTAACAAGTTTTATTCCACTAAATTAGGTTGGTTTTGTAGATAGCATGACATCAGAAGGCTCTATCAATACTAATTTATAGATATATTATTCACTATGACATTTCAAGTCCCTTCCATAAAGTCATTGCAAGTCTATAATAAAACTGTCGCTTTTTATTAATATTGTCGTGTTTCAAATTTCAAAGCCCAACTTCGTGAAGTCAAACTTGCAGGCTGGACCTAGGTGCTTACGATTCATACTTCAATCATGAATTCTTCATTTTCGTCGTCTCATCAATCCCACAGTAAAAAAGGAGGAAAAATCCCACAACCCCCTGTTTGAAGAATCCGAACTTACTACTGTAGAAACGGAGTCTTCTCCTCTACTGTTTCATGAAACTTGATATTTTTGCTTTTGGAAAATTGGTACAAGGGACCAAAAGGGGAAGTTGTTTCATTGTTTGGAAGAAAAGATCAAAGAAGCGGGAGTCTTAAGGTAAAAACCACTGATTTCTGAAACTCGTTTGAAGCTGGTTTGCACCTTCAAGGCTCCCATTCGTCTGGTCTTTTCCGCCAAATAAGTTCCCCGTTTGGTCCTTTATACCAACTTTCCCCTTTGTTCTTCTCTGTTCATGTCATAGAAACGGAGCCGAGCCCGAAAAGAGACGAACTACGTAGTTAACAAAGATGAGAATAATGGATAGAACATGTACGCGTATAAAGTTTTTATCCGACAGAAGTTACCTAGTTGGAACTCGAAAGTGAACAACGATAATATTGGTAATAATGAATTAGCAACAATGTAGATCGAGCGAAAGAGTAATTGTCTATCACAAAACTTCATCCTAAGATTCTTTACTCATGACCATAGCAATAGTTTTAAATTGTACAGTCAATCTCAGACAGCATACCGATACCAACAAGACCAAAAACAAAACGAGAGAAGTCATCTGTTCTGGTCAGCAAGAGAACTGAGAATTTTCCCGGAAAAATCATGGAAGGAAAAGGAGATGGAGATGATATAGAGTCGGAGAAGAAGAGAGCTGACCTGAAACACCAAGATCATAGCCGAAGAGAGAACCACCGAGAGCTCCGACGAGGCAAGAAAAGGCGAAATAAAGAGTGAACTTGTGCTCATAGAGATGAGCCCTTTTGAGTGGGCCAGCTTCTGCAAATCCTCCTCCCGCCATTGCTGCCTCACAGATACACTTCAAGAAGACGGTGGATTATCCAGAGCTCAAGTCAACAACAATACCGGACGGAGAGAAATCACAAGGAAAGCTAGACATTCTGCCGATCTTTAAATATGAAAAAACGGACGAGAGAACGTTGAAATTTTCAATTTTTCTTTTTTTATTTTGGGGGGGGGGGGGGCCAATAAGGCAACAAGGGCGTTGAAATTAGGTGGCGTTATGTTTTAGATCCGAAATCCGCCTTTTCTGTTTAGGTATTTGTGCATTTTAAAAAACATTAATTTTCTTTTTCTTTTTTTGTTCAAAATAAAAACATAATTATTAAAAAGAATCAATTACATTAAATAAAGAGAAGGTTTTCATTAAAATAAAGACGAATGTGATCCTCTAATTTTTATAAAGTTCTATTTTTATTTTTTAAATTTTATAAAATATTTTTTCGTCCGCTAATCTTTTTTTTAAAATAAACTTGATATATTTAAATGTTTTGTTAAAAGTCAAAATTTTAATAATAGTATTTTTTTAATTAATGAAACTGATAATATTGAGGTTAGAGAATTACAGAAATTATAAAATTGGGAAATTAAAATGAAATATCTTATAAAGTTAAAAATAAATAAATATCCACTTGTACCTAAAAAAGAAGTAAAGGAGACAAAAGAGCGATGAGATTATGGCACAAGAATTGAAGAGATTTTTTTTGGGGACTGACATTAAGGGGCCAATGAAAATTACGTGTACCCAATGCCGGTTTTTCTGCGCATACGTTTTCACATGTTATATTGGGGAGACGCAGAGAGTACCCAAAAAAACAAAAATAACTAGTTCGGTTTTAAAATAAAAGTTACTGAGCTAATTATTTTGTTAAATTTTTTTATTAATTATGTATATTAGTTAAAATTTAAAACTATCATTTGATAAAATTTTTAATATATATAACTACTAGAAGGATCACTTTAAAAAAATGAATAAATGAGAAGTAAAATGGATCAGTGTTTTATATTTGGAATCAAATTAAATATCAAACTAGTTATTATATTAAAGATTACAAGTAGTATTTGTCACTTGTAAGAGGAAATTTTGATCCTTTTTATTTGTTAAATATATCCTTTTTTAACGATTTATTTTTAATTTTTCCCCTATTAATTGCAAAGGTAAACAGGAGATAATGGGTAAGAAAAAAATATACGGCCTATTTAATAAGGGCAGAATTAAAATTTTTTATCTATTTAATGCTTTTCTTAGTATGTGAGAAACTTTTACAAGTAACAAATAATAAGAACTAAAATGGTAATTGTTTATTTAACAATAATTAAATTAAATTTCATATAACTATTATATTAAGGTTTTTGGTGACACTTTGTCTAATTTTTTCATATGGATTTAGCATTGAATAATGATATTAAAAGAAATATGACACATGGCAAGACATGACTGGAGAATACGATATAACGATGGCAAGGAATCTGGCTTCAGTTTTTATTTATTTATTAATGTAGTATTTCAAATTAAAAATATGTGACGCTGATTTGGAAAATATAATCACTATTTACGTTCCCAATCGGTAAGTCCCTGTCTCATGTCTCCACCGAGTAAAATGAATAAATTAGCTTATTCGTTGATTTGGAAATAATTAAACTCTCCTTAAAATAAATTTGAAAACTTCAGCCTTATTAATGATATATATATACACACACACATGGTACTCATCCGGTTCTTAATATAAGACTTATTTAACTAATTTACTCAGATTAAGAAAGTTAGGTAAGTTAGTTAATTATAAAAAATGTGATATGCTTTTCCTAAAATAGCATAATCATCTTTCTTAATATCCTCCTTCCATCACTTACTTGATCATAGTTGAGTGAGTATCCATAGAGATAATTTATAAAAAATTAATAAATATGAAAAATATGTCTTATATTTAGAACTAAAATTAATTTATTAATTAGGTCCTATATTAAAACAAAAAGAGTACAAGCCGTACAAGATTTATAGGATCTGCCCATAACAAGCATGCCTAAACCTAGATGAGAGAATCATCTCTAATTAAATTTGATGATATATAAATTTGATCTAATATTGATATCAAATATTTTTATAAAAATATATTGTTCATAATTCATAAAATAGTGTGGCTTGTTATTTTTTACCAATTTAAGTTATCAATGGCCCAATTTAATTTATAAATACGAAAGTTGATTTATAAACGTAACCCAACTCAACTAGTAAACATGTAAATTTGTTTTATATTTAATTTTCTTATTTAAAGTTATGAGTAAATTTTTCAAAAGCAAAATCTTTGACTTAATTTGGCATTTATGGCAAGGAGGAGGATTGGATTAAACTGCCAAGTCATGGGAAGTCCTTAACCTTATCTATCATAGAAAGGAAGGAGGCCGCTTACGCCAAGCTGCCAATTACAATAATATCCCTAAGACTAATTTAGTAAAGTCAATTCTCTGATCTCGATCTGAGGTGTCAAAATTAAAATATTATTTTTTTTTCATCTTTTTAAATGTTCTCATGCTTCCTTAATACTTCAACATAGTTGGCACTTATTCACACTTATATCAAATTAAAACAAAATAAGATAAGTAAACGTTTGCATTGCATCATTAGTTCTAGTATCCCTCTACAAAGTCAAGCCTCGCTAATTGAAATAATGTGGGAGCAAAAATAATTAATTTAATTAATTTGCTTAAAATAGAATAAATCATTAAATTAATAAATTAATCAAGTACTTATTTAGCTCATTTATGAGGCACTTCTAATTATGTTTCACAGAAACAAAAAAAATCTTAAAGTTTATTAACTTTACTTTAAATTTTATCTAGATTTAATATATATATATATATTATCAAAACATAGTTTGCAGACAATAAATTAGGAATAATTTTTTTAGAATAAAAGGATAAATTATATGTACATGAAATGACATATATAAAAAAAAATCTCTTTCTTTGTTCTATAAACAGGATGAGGAGTATTATATAAACATTGAATGAATTTTTGTCTGGTACCTCGACCGATTAACGCATATATATGTCTTCTAATCTGCTGTCCACACTTGTCTTTTATTTATTTGTTTGTTTGTTTTAATTTTTAATGAGAGACGGAAGCTTTTAAGAACGTACGCAAGTGGCCGTTGAAAAGTGGCATTTATATTTTATGAAAGATAGTATATTATTGTGTCTTAGTGTGTGTGTTTGTATATTTATATAAAGTAACTGTCATCTCGTCATGTTGAGGTGGTTGCCTGTTGGAATTTTTTTTTTATTGTACTGAGTATCCTCAGGAGTCATAACAGAAACCTTTTTTAACAGTATTTTTTCCATACACACTGTTTCAAAAATTGAATTCAAGACATGATGTTTAAAGTGTCTAAATCTCTTCTACTTGGACCAACACTTGTTGGTTACCTGTTGGCACTTAAGGTTGGCATATTGGAGTATTGCATATGCTTTAATTTGGTGGCCCTATATGTATCACATGCCATCAAACTTATTCATCATTATCTCCTCTTTTGTATGGTGGCGTAAACACAAATCTTAACGCAATAATATTATCTCCAATCCTAAATATAGAAGTTAATTAAAGATTTAATTTGATCTAAATATAAAAGTTTAATTCACCTTATTTTCTATATTTATTTATTTATTTCAAAGTAGTCCGATGGTGATTACATATGTTAAAAAAATTTTATTCTAATACACATTATTAATAAGGATATTTTAGAAAAAATAATACTTATTTATTATAAATAACTAACTAAATTAATTTTCTTAATATTTACAAATTGGTTACCTAACTCTTATATTAAATAGCGGATGTAATAAGTAAAACAAGCATTGGCAATCCTTCCATGTATAAAAAAACCTTGGCATTGAAAAGTAAATAAAATAAAAATAAGATAATGGTATTATTTAAGCTAAGAGTGAAAATACCACTATTTCCTAAAAAACAATGGAGCATTTATAGTCTTAAATAAAAGAACTAAAGTAATAATATCTTCAGTCAGTTAGTTTTCATTCCTAATTATTGGATCTCAATTCACTTTGCCTTTTAAATTTATAATGTATTCTCAAAAATATTCTTATTAATTATAATTTTTAATGTACATAATTAAATAAAGATAATTTAGAGAAATTAATACAGATTTATTGCAAATCATTAATTTAATTAATTTTTTAAATTTTTTGAATTAACTATCTAACTCTTATATTAAGAATAGTAGTAGTACTTCTCTATCATATGGCTGCTATCCTCTCATATTAAGGTTGTTGCTTGTTGGCAATTTTGTTGGCAACTTGGTGGTCCTAGATGTGACATCCCATCAAATTTCTTCATCATTATCTCGTCTTTATTGGTCCAAACACGAATTTTAACTTAACTACTTATTTATTTTTATTTTTTTTTCATTTTAAATTTTCATATCAATTGGATTTTAGGAGTCACATTCAATTTTACCAATTGCTTTTGACCGAGCCAAGCTGCTATGCATGTGTAACAGAAGACTGATAATTACCTTAGAATATTAAATATTGAATTTTAATTTAAAAATCATGATTTTCAATTGTTATTAAAAATTTTCCTTTTCCCAAAAATGCCCTCACCACTAGTGGCCAGCGACCGTCTAAGGAACCTCAAATAAGAAGAAAGTCTCCTGAGATGGTTTATTTCGTGTTCAAGCCAAGCCCTCTAACCACAATTGGTATTTGCTCGGCTTTTAATGAACCATTTTAGGAAAGATATTATTAAATACTAGTTCCGATCTTTAATATAAGACCTAGTTGATTAATTTGGAGAGATTAAGAAAATTAGTTAAGTTTGTTATTTGTAATAAATAAATGTTGTATTTACTAGAATACCTTTACTAATTATATGTATTAGCTAGAACTGCTGTTTGATAGAATTTTTAACATGTGCAACTATTATAAGGATTACTTAAAAAAAAAAGACAAAATAGATTAGGGTCTTATATTGAAGACCAAATTAAAAGTTAAATAAAGTTTTATATTGAAGATCAAATTAAAAGTTAAACAAACTTTTATATTAAGGACAGGAGGTAGTAAGACTTGATTTGAAA